ACTCACTCTCACGCACTCGCACACACTCACACTCACTCACCCGCCCTCACACACACGCACTCTCACACACACGCACTCTCACACACGCACACGCACTCTCACACACACGCACTCTCACACGCACTCTCACACACGCGCGCGCACACACACACACTCACACACACGCACTCTCACACACACGCACTCTCACACACGCGCGCACACACACACTCACACACGCACTCTCACACACGCACGCACACACTCACGCGCACACACTCACGCACACGCACTCTCACACACGCACTCTCACACACACTCACACACGCACTCTCACACACGCGCACACACTCACGCACACACACTCTCACACACACGCACTCTCACACGCACTCTCACACACGCGCACACACACACTCACACACACACACACACTCTCACACACACAGAGAGAGAGAGAGAGAGAGAGAGAGTATTAACAGTGAGGGCTAGTTATTATTCCACTCGGAGTCTGAGCACATTAAAGTCAGACACAATTACATTTCGTTCATTTCTTCAGCTTTCATCAGCTTCAGCAAAGACACTTTGTGATGTTTGTGTGATTTAAGACTGTAATACACTAAACTTTTTATAACTAAAATGTTATGACTAAAATCCTTCACATAATTCAGTGTTCCTTTTAAAAATTGCTTGTACATCTTTCTTTATGCAATATTATTACCAAATCTTGAATGCAATATTTTGGGCAGCTTGTTTTGTCCCAGTCAGCACAGGTTTAGTGTTTCTTATCAGAGCTGATTGATTGATTAGGCCTCATTGATCAGTTTTTAAGTGTGTGTGTGGGGGGGGGGGCATTATTTGTGGATAATTTTGGCTTAAAAAATGAGGTGCAAAAGCTCAGATCAGTGTTCATTCAATACAAAACCTGTGCTGATTGAAAAAAAGCAAGGTGACAAAAAGATTGAATCCAAGATTTGGTGATAATTGTATCATTATAAGAAATTTAAAAAGAAAGTTTGGTTCCAGTTATTTTTGAGTGTAACAAGGAGTGCGGGGAAACCCTAACCCTAGGGTTTTTTTTGCAAAGTTGTTATATAAGTCAGTAAGTTTTACTGTAATGCTTTAACATTAACTAGCATTGTCAGGAAAAAGAAAATCCTCTCAACACGAGGGTTAAAACACATCAGACACTAAACGACTAAACATCTTCTGACTCATTCCAAACACGACAATTGAAAGCAATGTCACAAAACTGGCTCAAAATATCAAACATGTCTGATTTGGAATCACAGACTGAAGCTAAAAGTCACAGTCCATCATATACGACCGACGGCATCTGCAGAGACTGGCTCCAGAAGAAGCTTCAGTGTGAGGCCTGAAGAAGACGTCTGTGATGAGATGTGCTGCTGCGCTTGGGTTCAGCGAGAGCCGAAGCTGAGCTCACACTAGAAGCACGTTTCACATGAAGGTGGTCAGAATAAAGAGTGTCCCGTCTGCAGCGCCGCCGCACTTAACTCTGTAGATAAGCAGGACTTTATAGCAGCTCCTGACAGACATGAACACACTGCCACAGAGACAGAGACGCGGAGCTAGAGGGTTAAACACGGGGTGGCCAGGGCAGAAAATCAGTCTATAACTCCAACCTGGCATTAAAAAGCATGAATACATCCTACGATTGCTGATTCACAGTACCCCACATAGTTAAACATACCCTAACTTCAAATATGAGTCTATTGGAACTTATTTCTCTTGTTTCTATCGTCTCATTAACCAGTGGTTGAGCAAAGGATCTAACATTAACTTGTATGCTACAGTGAAATTTGTAAATGTTGTTCAGGAAACCTAAAACTTCAATTACTTCAAACAGGGCTGCCAGCTTTTGAGTTCAGCCTGGACTGAGAATTATTCAGGAATAGTTAGCAAGCTCGCGATTAAGAAAATGAAACAGAAGCATATGAATTATTGGGGTGGACCCCCCTCTGGCTCTGAGTCCGTCTGGAGCATCGCTCAGTATCATCAATGTGAATGCGAGACCTGACATCAGAAACTCTGCTTGTGTTCGTCTGCTGGCTTCAGTGGCTCAGGGTTAGAGGAACGGATCTGTCAGAGGTCAGCAGAAATCATCTTCAGGTGATTCATCACAGTCGCTCGGGGTTTGAGCTGAGCAGTGGTGGACTCTGGAGGTCCCAGCGAGCGCAGGCTCTCGAGGCTCTCGAGGCTAATGCTCTGTTCGGGTCTGGAGAGAGTCAGTCCAGCCATTAGCTCGGCCGAAGGCGCAAGTTTAAGTTCAAGCCGACAGGTGTGTCTCGTCCCATCACAGCTCCTCCAGCAGCTAACCTTCAGCTTCACAACCTCTGTCCACTAGAGGTCAGCTAAATCATCACGCTTCACTCGTGAAGATGCTGCTGGAGCCTCCAGAGCTCGAGAGACACGTTGAGAAGACACCAGACTGTTTGTGTGAGAATGACACACACACAGCGTCTCGGGCCGATCGTTACGTGCTTTAAGATGAAGAAGTGCTGATAGTGACATCAGACGGAGGAATGGATCTGCAGTCAACTTTAACACTTCACTTAAAGCCTTTATATGAATAATGCATTACAGAAGTATTATTAATGCATCAATTATGTCTTGTAATGCACCTTATAATGCATTATTTGTGGCCGTGGAGCACAAAAGCAGTCATAAGCAGGGTGCAAATTACGGGGGGATTGTTTACCCTCTTCAACTTAATGCTGTTGAACTGAATTTACCAGAAAACTATTTGCTAAAATAACCACAACATTAGCAGAAACGCTAAAATACAAGCGTGTGGTAATGTTAGTCAGCTGCGCGTGAAAGTTGCACGTGTTACTATAACAAACACTGCCTGTTTTCTTTCAGAATCATCACTGGCCTTTAGAAAGACAAAAATAGGTTACATAAAAGTTTTTACCTACAGTAAAAATGAAGATAAGGTGTGAATAATTACATTTTAGACACATTGTCAGT